CCACATTTTGCTTGTATAGTGGATTGAGACTGAGTAGATGGCACAGACCCCAAGTGGGCGGTGGTCTATATGGACCCCCATCTGTCGTCCGGACATCTTGGGGTCTGTGCCATTTCTCACCTCTGAAACCACTGTAGATGAACCGTCCTGGACCCAGAAATTTGTATGTGTTTATGTCCTTGCCAGAACATGTGCCATGCGTCCTCGACACAAATGAGGCAAATGTTGCGCAAAGCAGCTAGGCAAGAGTCACAATAAAAGCAACACAACACAAGCTAAAGACGCTAAAGGGACGCCAATTCTGACTGCTTCTTTCTTTTTATTTTGTGTAGTCTTAGTGTGAAGATTCATTCCGCATTCCCATGCTGTCTTTAAGTAAGCACATGATAGTGTCGGGATACTAAGTCTACACCATATTTTCTGACTCACCTCAACAAACTGAAGATGGATCCAAATTCGCTGAGTTGCATCCTTGGAAACGTGGATCATTTGTTGGGAGCAGTTAAATACAAGCTTTGCTATCAGCACTTCGTTGGGGTGACCTGAAGTCGCACCAACGGGACATGTCGAGCTTGTTTGAAGTCGTTGCAGAATGTTTCTCACGAAGGAAATTGTAACCAATGTAATCCAATGGGTCCACAAATCAAAGGATCACTTTGAAGTGTCTAGTGTTTTGGATATGTTTTGTTGATCATTGTGATTTCTAGACTGATTCCCTACGATCGACTGCGGAATATGAATCCACTGAAGATCCAGTGGTCTCCCTCCCCATGTGTTATGCGCCAGCTGCCTCCGCCCAGGAATTTGTTCTGAGTTCCCGACTGCCCCCGACACGAAAAAGGGGCCGCCACATCGATTGGGTGCGAGGTTCTGAGGACCAGGCAGGCAATGTCCAATAGCCAATAGCTACCTGGCGGTGAATAGAAAGGTGCTTGAACCCAACCAAGAAGGTTTGATGTCTCAGGGATGTTCATGTTTGGTTTCAAGATTGATTCCTTGGAAATCAAAGCAAGAGGCGCTACGGAACAAAACAGAACTCAACAAAGGGAACCAGGGAAACCATGTTTTGATATTTGTTTTATCAACACTGATTCTGAGTGATTTATAGTCCCAAGATCAACCTTGCGACATCCACAGCCACCAAAGATCACCGGCAAAACTCATGTCTTGACCTGGCTGGAGAGCCTTGGCTCAGAACCTGGCGCATCTTGAAAGCATTCTGGCGCAGCTGTCGAATGCGGCGGCAAGGTCAAATGGGCCGGAGAGGGTTCCGAGTGCGGTAGTGCCCGCGCCCAGTTCGTGCGTGCACAACGAAAGCGCGCAGAGCGGGTGATTGGGCAAGTGTTTTCCACTATCAGCCCATGTAGCAGGTCACTATCAGCACTCGTGTTCTTGTATTTTGAGTAGTTCAGCGTTGGCATCATTTTTGCAACCATGTGTTCCACAAAAAAATATTGTTTGACACAACCCTTTGGCTCGTGCTCAAGTCATCTTAGGTCTATCAATTGTACTTATTGTGTGTTCTCACACATGTACTGAACATTTGCTTCAATGAGGTTCACACACAGATGCATACAAAACATAAAGTGTATGGAGTTACATTACATGTAATCGATGTTGTTCCTCTCCATGATTCAAGAATAAATGTATACTGTATATATATATATATTCCACAGCAAAGACCACTAGAACAGGAGTAGATCAGCACACGTTTATTAATGTTTCATGTGTATGCCAGGGCCCAGTGGTGATTGGGATGGATGCAGGAGGATGATGTGGGTATATGCCCCCGTTGTGACCTTTGATAGAGTCAATCCCCGGTGCCAACAGACACTGAACTTGTAGGCACTGAACTTGTAGACTGAAGCGGCCCATGAATCATCCAACCACTCTTTGAGAAGGCAGGCGGGACCTTCAAACCCACCCCACATTCCAGAACACATGTTCGATCCGTCCGATCACATGAATTGATAGGTCAGGCATGATATATATATATATAGAGAGAGAGAGATTGGCCGTCACACGTGTTTGGCCCTCGCCACCAAGCGGATGCCTCTCTGGCTGCTCGGGAGACTGGCTAAGACGCAGGAAAAGTCGCCGCTGCTCCATACACTCCATACACTCCATAGATCTAATCAACCAACCATGTAGTAAAAGGAACAGTCCACCTTACTTGCAGTCCAATCAACCAACCAACCTACCATGTTCAATGCAAGTAAGGTGGACTGTTGATTCCAAAAAGCACCCGAGGACTGGAGATTGTAACGCCGGATCCGTGCTTTGTTTAATTCTATTCAACAACCCACGCCACCTGGGCGGTGGGACGTGATCGGCGGTGAGACCAGTCCCACTGGGCAGACGTGGGGAGAGATCAACTTTGAGACCCGATCGATCAAGGAATGAGGAAGATGAGGGGACTCTTGATGTAAAGATGATGTGTTTGTTCTTCCATCTTATGAAAATAGAAAAATCATAGAAAATCCACTCACTTTGTGTTTTGTATTCCGATCGATTCTGTTGTTAAACGCAGAAACATCGTGGTCGGTCATCTCATCTCACCACGTGGACCTGGTTCGGCCTTTTGAATGCAAATCAGTTCCCGAACCAGGTCGGACCCAGTCTGTCACCTCGGGTCGGATCCAGTCTGAGGTGTTTTTGGATGAGCAACTCCAGCAACATCAGATCCAACCGACCGGTATGGATCTACATTTTCATCTGCTTCAGAGATTCGACATCCTTTACCCAATCTAATTTCAAGATATCTGACCTTTTTTTTGTATGATGCAGGCTCCAAATTTCACCAAAATGGGCGTGTGCTTTCAGCCGGCCTCGAAGCCCCTCAGAGCTCCGGTCCGCTCGCTGACGCGCATAGGTCCACTCGGATGCAGACAACAGTGGCTGGGAAAAGCGCATCGACAAGCATTTGCATCTGGGTTTGAAGTCTTTCGACCAAACATGGAGGCTTTTTGCGGGTCGGTGGGTGGAGGCGAGGATCAGAAGAAACAAGAAAAACATGGTGAGTGCAAAGTCAGAGAAGATGTGCTGTGGAGAACATGATGAGTGAGCTGGGAAGAACTGATGCTAGTTTTTTGGGATTGTATCTACAGTTCCTTCACCTCACCAACCTTGATGGTCTTTACTCGTATTGGATGGTCCAAGTCGTCAACTTGGAAGCTTCTCTGTTCAAGAAGCCATTCTGAATGGGATGGCCATGACTTGAAGTTGGTCTTGCTGTGTTCAAAAAGGGCACACTACTTGTAATTAGGAACAACAACTTAAACTCATGCATAGGTATCACATGTAAGCTGCAGTGTATGCTGGCTCTGTTTACAGATATATCTTTTGCCTTCGTTGGTCTTGTGGACTACCTCCATTTGCTTCGCCAACGAGGGGAGACCGGTCGGACCGAGGCATTACACCAAGTACGTCGGGGGTGCTCAGTGGGTGCCCGGTGGGCGTGTCGCTGGTGAGATGAAGCAGGTCACATGGCCAACGACTTGGTGGCTCACCTGTTGAACCCCATATGAAAGACTTTATATAATACTTCTTGTATTTTAGGATATTTTAGGTCTGTGCCAAAGGTTTGAGTTGATGTCTTTGGTGACTTGAGCCAGGAGTTGTGGGGGATAGACAAATCTTAACATACTCTGCTGAATTATATACAGATCCACATCTTTCACATTAGATTTAATACATATAATATATATATATATAAGTGTTTTGGTTTTCAACCAATTGACACTTGGCCCTGATACTCAGATGATGCGAAGGGGTTTTCTTGTTTGACAGCAGAATCAATGTTATAGTCATACTGTACTATTCCTGTTTGCTTACGTTCGCGAGTTTGAGAGGCGACATCGAGTTTGTTGCACAAGACAACAGCAAATGCATTGGTGGCACCACCATGCATGGTTAGAGCTGTGAATTGGTTTGGAGGATGCGGGTCTCAACCACTTCTTTCTATCCCAAAGCACAGAGTCAGCCAGGCTTGCACGAGATGCCACAAAACAACTCCCGAAGTCCTGGGTTGGGGTGGTCTATACCCGCTCGAATCCCTGGGGTTGGCCAGTTCAACTATATTTGGCACCACCGAAGTCAATCTAAAGGCAATGTTTTAAAATATAGACTCACAGTGATCACAGGGTACCAGGTTTCTGCTTAATGAGATTTGGGTGACCCAACCCGATTGGACCAACCGCTCACATTGGCCGCTCACGACGGCCGCCGGCGCGCTGTCAGCGTGCGAGGTCGCTGGGACAGATCCCTTGTGGCTCGAAACCAGCTCGTTGCGTGGAGAAGTCCAAATGCGACGGATGAAACAGTTACACTTTTGGAGTGTATGAAACACAATTACCAACATTAACATGTATTGTAAACGTGTTGGTGTTGGTGTTGTTGTTGTTGTCGTTGTTGTTGTTGTTGTTTTGAAAGCAATTGCCAACATTATGTGCATCAACATGGGTTTGTTTTGGAAACAGGTTCGAACATGTCCAAGGAGACTGACTCTGGCCGTACGCCCGACGTGGAAAACATCCATGACATAGTCATTGGTGGGAGAATGTGGGTGAATGCTTGGTCAATTTTGGAGAGCTTGCAAGGTCGCTCCTGGCCTTACTACTACTATTAGAAACAAGAAGCTACTAGTAACAAAGGCCATCGCTACTAGGAGCAAGGACGCTACTAGTAGCTCCTGGCATCGCTACTAGTAACAAAACTTGCAAGGTCAAGAACGGCCAGATGGGTGGAGCGACACATATATCTATGAAAGCCCAAAACCATGCATGAATTTGCCTTTGTTTCTCGCATGCGTTGTTTTTGCATCCCGTTAGAAGGAATGTCCACCAACGCCTCCAGGCGCCACAGACTTCAGTACATGTTGTTTGGGACGCGCATACGTCCCACAAGTGCCTAGGTCAAAATCAACTCAGGTCCGCCCGGATGTTCATGTTTGAAACATTTTGAAACATAATTTTTGTCGTTTGGCTCATACAATATCGTGATCGAAACCGTTCGACATCGTGATCGCTGCGTGTTGCTCTTCCTCGTCCCCCGTGTCGCCACATGGGCGGTGTCGCTGCGTGTTCGCTGCCATGTTGGCCTTGTGGCTACTTCTGGTCCTCGTGGCTGCCATTCAGTTCGATGTTTTTTGCCGATGTTTGGACAGACCGGGACATGAGCCGAATCAGTACTCCTGCTCATGTTGCATGGAAGTGTAATCCCCCTCTTCGTAGAGGAAAATGGTCTTTAATATGAGGATATGATATGAGGAAGTATTCAGGACTTCTTGCCAAGCAAAAATGTATTGGGATTTGACATGTTCAAAAAGATGTCCCAACCCATCATATAAACCGATAACGCATGATAACACCCTAGACAAGCATCATGTTTCTTTCATGGCAAAGAGTGCACTATTTTTTTTGCTTTCGGTTTATGGTCAAGGATTTGAGGGTTGTTTTCCTTCCAAGCAAGTTGTGCTGGCGGAGCCAGACATTCATTTTCATGTGGCCGCTTCTTTCGATTTGCTCACGCAATGACAGAAAACAGCCGAGAAATCACCCGTCATAAACTACAAATCAGAAGCGTAACAATTACACAGTGGATGGGAAACAGTGGCAACAGCGCGAGAGAAGGTACCAGGATGTAGTTTGGTTTGCCCCACACATGTACGCCACAGGGGAAGGCAGTTCCACAGAAGTGTAGATGGAGACTTTGGCGAAAGGACCCACAAACTTACACTTCACATGCTCACACACGAAGCAGTGTATTGGTTGTTGTACCTTTCCTTTGCAATCAAGACAACCCCCGCAAAGCCCCATATATGCATGAGGATTTCAACCTCCCGGTCGAACTGAGTCGATCCTTTCGTTCGACCTCTTCGACGTCATCAGGAGCTGCTCTTCACCTCGTCGGTGCCTCGCTGCGGTCACGAGTCACCGGTGCTTTCGTTCCGAGGCGCTGGGCGCCATCCACTGCTCTGCCATCCCAAAGAGGAGCCGGGATCCGCGGGATCGGCGGGCCTCCCATGCGGAATCGCTCGTGCGCCGTGTCCGGGACCTCCCTGTGTTCGGGTGGTTTCGGTGCGATTCTCTTTGGTTTCGGGGTCAGAACCGGTCATACCCGGTATTCATGATGAAACTACATACGACATCATACGACGGGAGTCGACTCATGGTGGCTTGGTGGAGTGAACACCACCTATGTTTGGTGGTGTTTCGAAAAGACTCATGGTCCAAAGGCCAGATGTGGTCCATGGAACCATTTCCTGGATCCACTTTATGAAAAACATCCTGCACGATTGGTCAATCAATGTCAATCAGTTGTTTGTGTGATGTATTTTGTGTTTTCGATTTTGTTCGAGGTTGGACGATCACGGCTTTTTCGCAGAAACGACCAGGATTTGGTCCTTTTGGCACGACAGCGAGTCAGTGAACAGGCTGCACAGGAAAGGGCTCAGGGACGGGGGCGGTTTCTCGGAATTTGCCTGGGTCTTGTCACAAGACCCCCCAGAGAAACACCTGAGTTGCTCTCAAGAATTGGGGCAGATACCGTGCTTTTGGTTCACATGTTGCCTCGTCCCAACAAACATATCCCTGACAAAAGATTGTTGGCAGTCATTCTTGAAGAACGCGCTATGTCGCTTGCTATGGCGCTTACAAGTGGCATCAAGTGGCTTTCATTTCAAGAGTTCTCCTGACGGTTGCCACCCCTTGGAATCCTTAGATCCTCTCCATTCTCAGACTTGTATTCAGCATCATTGAAGTTCTGGCTTTATTATACCCAAAGCACCCTGATCTATATCCTACCGGTCCTGCAGCATTGCATTACCATTTCTTTGGGATTATTTGCTTTGTCAATCACAATATATAAGTACATTGGCTTGCTCTGGATGTGGTTTGCTCCAACTTGCTCCCCTTCCTTGGTTTGGTTATCCCGTGTCGGGTGCGTCGGCTCAAGAAAAGATGCTGATGTGATAACCATATCGAAGAGTTTCAATCCACATGGATTAAACTGCTATTTGTTGATAGTCCCAGCAACTTGCTCTAGACTTGATAGTCAGAACCTACAATAATATATCCTATATTAATATAGTCTTGTCGGTGCTGTTTATTTTTTTGCAGTGGCTTAGTGAGGCTGGGAGAAGCCTAAATTCGGCTTGCCGTCATGGCTATGACGGTCTCAGTCACGCAGATGAACGGGGAAGACATTGTTCTAGACGTCATGCCAGAAATGACTGTACAGGATTTCAAGGAGCAGCTAGTTGCAGTGCATTTTTCAGATGAAGTCATGCACGCGGTGGGTGGGGCGGAAATATTGGTCGAGGGCAGGCGGCTAGAAAACGAGGATGAGGTGTTGATGGTCGCAGGCATTTCGCCAACTGCAGAAGTCCAGGCACTCTTCACAATTAATGCAGTAGAGTGTTGCAGCAAGGAGGAGCTCCCGCTCCCTATAATGCCTGGGCTTTTGTTCGCCTTAAGTATTCCCGACTCTGCATCTTCCATTGAAAGCAAAGCCTTCGACGATTGCTGGTCATTGGCAAGCGTGACCATCCCAAATTCAGTGACTTCCATTGGAGACGAGGCATTTGCAGGCTGCCGTTCATTGATGCGCTTGACAATACCCGACTCTGTGATGTCTATAGGAAACGATGCTTTTGCAGCATGCATCTCACTGACTAGCGTGACGATACCCGAGTCAGTGGTATTCGTGGATGCAAATGCGTTTATGGGCTGCAGCTCCTTGACGAGCTTGACAATTCCTGCATCTGTGACTTCCATTGGACCTGCGGCATTCTCAGGTTGCAGTTCTCTGACGAACTTGGTGATTCCCACATCTGTGACTTCCATTGGAAGGAGTGCATTTGCACGCTGCAGTTCTCTGAAGAGCTTAGCCATTCCTGGATGTGTGACGTCAATTGAAGATGCTACCTTTGCGGAATGCAGTTGCCTAACAAGCTTGACGATTCCTGAATCTGTGACATCAATTGAATATCATGCCTTTGCAGAATGCAGCTCCCTAACTAGCTTGACCATTCCTGCATCTGTGACTTCCATTGGAATGGGTGCATTTGCCCGTTGCAGTTCCCTGACGAACTTAACGATTCCTGAATCAGTGACATCAATTGAATATGTTGCCTTTGCACAATGCAGTTCTCTATCCAGCCTGACAATTCCCGATTCGGTGACTTCCATCGGAGACACTGCATTTGGAGGCTGCACATCGCTAAGAAGCTTGACAATCCCCGACTCAGTGACAGAGATTGGAAGCAGTGCATTTGCACAGTGCAACTCCTTGACAAGCGTGAGAATCCCAGACTCTGTGACCTATATTGGAGAGAGTGCTTTTGCAGGCTGCGGTTCTTTGACAAGTTTGAGGATTCCCGAATCTGTGACGTCCATTGGAGACCATGCGTTTACAGGCTGTAGCTCCTTGTTAAGCTTGGAATTTCCCCCGTTTGTGAAGTGCATTGGAGCGAGTGCCTTCGCAGGCTGCAGTGCATTGACAAGCTTGATCATTCCCGAGTCTGTGGCGTTCATTGGAGACAATGCCTTTGACGGTTGCACGCTCTTAACACGTTTGACTCTGGGCAACTCCGTGACATCCATCGGAGTCCGTGCCTTCGCAGGCTGCAGCGCCTTGACCAGCTTAAGGATACCCGAGTCTGTGACTTCTTTGGGAGCTGGTGCATTTGCAGACTGCAGATCTTTGACAAGCCTGAGAATTCCTGAGTCAGTCACATGGTTTTGCAGACCCGGTGATGTTTTATTATTTTCCCTATATGGGTAAATGTACCCTTTTTTTCTCGGATCCTTAAGCAGATCCAAGGTAACGTCCATCAGTAATCGCTCATTTGCAAGCTGCCGGATGTTATCGACGTTGACGCTTCCCCCGTATGTGACTTCTATTGGAGTTGGCGCATTTTCGGGCTGCAGCTCATTGACATGTTTGACACTTCCTGGGTGCGTGACCTCTATTGGAGTTGGCGCATTCTCAGGCTGCAGCTCTTTAACAAGGTTGACCATTCCGGAGACCATGACTTGCATTGAAGTTGGAACCTTTTCAGGCTGCAGTTCCCTGACCAGCTTGGCCATGCCTGAGTCTCTCACGTCACTGGGAATGGACTCCTTTGCCGGCTGCAGTTCTTTGAGCAGTTTGACGATTCCCAATTCTGTGGCATCCATCGGAGCCAGGGCTTTTGCGGACTGCCGTTCCCTGTCCAGCTTGACACTGAACTCCAAGACTTGCCTTCTTGGAGTCGATGCTTTTCAAGACTGCCAATGTTTGATTCCGGCCCTGGCGGCCTCTCAGGCTCCTCCTGCATCGAGCCAAGAAGTCAGAGGTTGAGCGCCGAGAGCGCGCGCATGGGATCCCTCCGCCAGACTCGATTCCAGGCTGAGAAGCGACCCCCCAAAGGATCCCAAAGGTACTTTGGTGAGCTGTTTGCCAAGAAGGAAATAGACATGATTTCGATTTTCCAGTCATGTCTAATCCATCCCAAAAAGACCCAGTCAGTGAGTGTAGTCTCCCGGCATGAGTGAGTGTAGTCTCCGGTCATGTCTATCCATCTGGAGACCTGCAGACGTCGAAGAGTTGTGTGTTTTGGTGAGTGCTGTGAGATACCATACCTATTAGGCATAAGCTTACGTATAGGTGCTGATAGGCCTTGCATGGCCGACACGACCGGACCAGCTCCTGGGTCACGCCTCGTGTCTTCAGCCAAGCCATCACGCGAACCAACGCGGTGCGCCATGCTGTCTCCAACACCCCAAGGTGCCAAAGCTGGTGCGCCTGGCGATGGCCACCTGGCACCACTTTGCGCCCGACTATGAGGCGCGTTCGACGACGACCGTGGGGAGACGGAACGGGAGGGCAGGCATCGTCGGGCGGGATAGGGAACGAGGCAGACGCAGTCGTGGGGCAGTTTCACTTGGTGGGAAGTGTGTAAAGGAAACAGAAGGTCAAATGGCTGAGGTAGAATTCATATAACCAATTTCACCAGGAGTTTCCATGTCGGGCTAGTTCGTCCCATTCTGTGCGTCAGATTTGTGCGATGTTCGGATCAAGTTCGGCACCTCGACGAACTTTTTGGGTATGTTTTTAATCTGCATGTGTTCCCTAGGGATCCAGTCGTACCTTCTCAGCAGGTGATTGGAGACACCGCCATGTAGGTTTCGAGGGTCCAGTCGTACCTTCTGAGAAGGTACTTGGATCCCTAGGGGGTTCAATCCCAAGCGCTCCATATGGAATATTTACATATAATTACATTGGGGTGGTTTCAGGGTGATGTCCGCTGCAATCCGTGGTGTTTCTTTTTACGGATCAACTAAATCCAATTTGAAGAGCCACGACATGAGATGCCACTGGTTGCTTCTGAGATGCCAACTCAACACTTCCCCTCTTCCAAAAAAATCAACAAACAAAAGACAAAAGTCCCTAACCCAACCCAAGCAGACCCCAAAAACGCGCTTCCATTCTCACGCGTATCGAAAACCACGTGGATTCGAAAACAACCTTCCGCGGCGACGGAGGAGACTCCATTCGCTCTCGTCAGGTGACGATGCTGGACCTGCGGAGCTTTGCGGCCCATCTGGAGAGTGCCCAACGCTTGGGCCCGGAGGACTTCTCCAACATGGCTCCTTCGCTGCAGACTTTGGTCGTTGACCCCCCCAGTCCCAACACGTCCGTCTAGTCTAACGGTCGTCCCGGGTCTCGTGTTGGGACGGAAGCTCTCGGCCGAGGGAACCTCGGGACGCTTCGGTGCGTGAGACAGGTTGATTGCATGAGACAGGTTGAGATGGTGGATGAGGGTACGCATGATGTTGTAGAAAGAACCAGAGCGGTGGGTGTTTTTTGGGGAAAGCATGTGAAAGCCTATAGGGTCATAATTTGCATGTGTTTAATCCTCCTCCTCGACTGCGACTTGGACTACCACTACTACAACCACCACTACCACTACTGCCACTACTGCCACAACTACCACCACCACTACTACTATCACCACCACTAATTACTACTCCTACTACAGTGGTACAGTGGTACTACTAGATTGGTGCAGAAACAGACCTTGTTCAGCACATGAAGCCATCAAACAGACCTTGTTGGCACAGAAGACACCTGTTTGGACGCCCTAAGAAATCTGGCTCTTCCGGCAAGATCCAGTTTCGATCTTCCAACGGTCACGACGAATGTTGGTCGAGCTGAACCTTTATATATATATATATTACTTTGTTTTATGGATGAAAAGGCTAAGGTATGCTGAGGTAGTTTCGCAGCAAAGTATCTATCAAACCCCAAACCATCCCAATTTGGCGTATATGGGGCTCTTGGTCTGTAGTTGGAAGATCACTTAATCTCTGAGGTCTTCTTTGCCGATTGGCTGCGACTAGCTTTACTGGAATCCCATGGTGGTGTATGGCTGGACGCCACGCTGCTGCTGATCCTCGGACCTGTCGACAAAAACATATACTTTGAGTGATTCCCGCTGTAAGAGGTGATTTGGAAGAAGGCAGGGCACATGTATTGACAAACGATCCTGACAAACACTGCCTGACATGCGAATTGAGACCATGTTCTGACATTTGTTCTGGCATGTGTTTTGGCATCAGTTCTGACACATCATGTTCTGGCATGTGTTCTGACATGTTCTGACACATCATCTGTAATAGCTAAAAGGCTGAGACATGTTAAATGTGTTCTGACGTCCTTTTGGTAAGTGTTTTGGCTTTTGTCCCGCCGTAAAGTCTGACATATATATATATATATATTGACTCTGACATCTCTTCTGGCAAGTACCGCTGAACATTTGTCACTTTCCGACAGATCATGAATTCGGTCATGTGTCAACTGATCTGACATTTGTTCTGACATATGCTGCGACACTGGTCCAAATATCGGGTTCTGTCATCATGTGCTGTCATCGTTCGGTCCAACAGGCTTTGCCACCCGAATCCGTTCACAGTGCAGCCCACACCAGCAGGGTGATGAGAGGAGGAGAACGAGGAGGAGCAGCGAAGCGCCCGAGGCATCCTCGGAGCTCTCCAGCCTTGCTGTACTGACGGTGGTGCAGCAACTTGCAATGAACCTGTCGCCACAAAGGCCTGGTGACCCCCCAGATACAGGTTCATTACTGCACCATCAGCTTGTCGACTGTTTCTGCTTTGCCTGACGTCCAGACCATGGCATTGGGCGCAGTCGCGCAAACATTGCAGCTCTTGTCGAATGTCCGGTACATTTTTCGGCCACCCCAATTGCCTTTCTTTCCAGGCAAAGTCAGCTTGCTCTCGTCTTTGCTTTCCATGAGAATATCGACAAATGTGTTTCTCCGATGACTTCGCCCTGGTGTGCACACTCTTCCGCTTCTTCTGGACAAGCTCAATGAGCGGAACGCGTGTCAGTGTGAGCTGCTTTGAGGATCTGGTGGACCTGAACGGTGGACTTGACGGGGCCAACCCCCTCACCAAAATAACTACTCGACCCTTTCAGTCTCTCTCCTTTTCCCTTGCTTTTGGCCGTTTTTCCGACCATCTGCGCAAATCGGACCTGGTGTGAACCGGAAGGCATAACGCGTCCATTGTTTTCCATTCATAGTTTGGGATTCTTTTAGAGAGGGGGGTCAAGTCCATGGTCCGGCAAGGCTGGTCTGACGTCCCAAGAGCTGGTCTGCCGTCATTCTTCCATGGTCTTGTCCCCCAAAGAATGTTCTGCAATGATTCAAACAATGAATGCACATATATATATATATATCTACACAATTGTTTCCAACAAAACACATTTTCCTGCATCTTGTTCAAGCAACTCCCAGGACGGCGTCGTCCTTGTTCTCCCAGGACGGCTCCGCTGCACTTCTTGGTCAACGACTCGGCCAGGCTCAGTGGTGTACAGCTGGAGGCGTGTCGGTCCCAGTGGTGTCGAAAGCTTTGCCAAACATAAAGCGGGTTTTGAGTCTGTGCAGGAACTTCTCCTGTGACGAAGACTTAGTTTAAGAAAAGGGTAGTGGACAAAATATAGTGTGTCAAAAAGTTCAATGATGTTTCACGATGTTTACCTCTACATTGATGAACAAGTCGAAGATATTTCTCAACATGTATATTTTTGGACATCCAACACATGAGAACACATGATTTAACAGTTTGGATTTAAGAGTTTGAGCAAAACATTGCCTGATTCCAATAAGAGGCTTCGGATGGTCTCACTGGGCTGGGCAAGGACCCCTCAACTCATGAGTGTGTTTGGTTGAGTGTCCCTCATTTTGAAAGATCAAGGGCCTCTTTTTCCTGCAAGTCCTGTTGATGGAAGGGATTCAATGAGAACCAGCTTCCCACCAGGGTGTTGGAGGATGTTCAAAAATCACTCGAACATGAAGAAACCAGTCTCATTGGGGTGTACATGGCAGACTGATGAACTGGTTTGTTATGGTTTGTTTTTTTTGTTGGACTGATGTACTGGTTTTGTCGGGGTTTTGGTGCGGAACCTCAGGACGAACTAGCTTTGTGCCCGACAAAGCCGAAAAGTCAGAGGATGCATTGTTTCTTTCGCCCGCCAGGAACCTCCGCACCTGATGTCTCATGAAATAATACATATATATGGATCATGGAGCTATTGTGTTGAGTCGAGATGACAAGTTTTAAAACAAGTTTTAATATGTTTTAATTAGTCCCACTAGGCACTGAAGTTGAGGGAGTGTATGAAGAGATCATAGCACCTATCATAGCAGCTCGGAAACTTTGACATTTCCTGCGATCTTCACCGGTAGGCTTACTATCTCAAGAAAGGAGTCGACTCACCGGTAGGTTTACTAATTCAAAAAGGAGTCCCCCTCAAAAAATGCGGTGAGTTTGTTCTTCACGCAGTTTGTGACGTAAAGAACGTCATCCCCGAGACGCTGAGGCCTCGTTGTTTGAGACGTTCTTGATCGCGGTGTCTTCACCGCATGATGCCACGAACTCGGTTCTCATAGTGTGTGCACTGATCATCATGATCACCATGCTTGGACTCGAGAAAAAGGGCTTCATCAGGAATCAAAATTCATATCTCATTCATGCCAGCTGGCATGCAACATCTCTTACTGTTGCAGATATGGTCGACACGTCCTAACTCACAGCCAAAAAGACAAGTCGAGAAGATTGGTGAATCCTTTTGAGCACTTGACCTCTCAAGCTTTGCCAACGCAGAAAAATCAGGTCTTTATCCAGCGCTGGAAGGACACTTTGAGAGAGATCTTCTCCCTCAGTGAGATTCTTGGACCCGTTCAGTGAGATTATGGGATCCTTTTGTTGATTCAATATTTGAAACATATTTTGGCGTCAGCAGTGGTGCCGTGTCAGCGGTTCTTTCGGCAGCGTGTCCATAAAATTAATCATGGGGTCAGGTGAGAAGTAAACTTGCGGGATTCATCCTGAGTCCTGGCTGGAGAACCCGGAGAGCAGTGGACTGGGTAGTCCAGCCAGGACCACCCAGGACGGATGGTGCAGTTTTGCGACCCCCTCAATGGTGCTGTTGAAGTTGAGATCCAGAGTGCAGCGGTTGAACAACATAGTGTAAGTGAAGATCCATTCTTGCTTGAAGAACCCAAGCAACATGTTTGTTCATCAATCCTCGAAACCACCTCTGATCTCACAAGGACAAGACTCTCCACTCCCCTTCGCTTGTCAAGCCGCCGCGCCGATGTAACCCACGCCTTCGTTGGCCCTCACCTGACCTAGGAGCAGCTACGACCAGCACCTGACCCAGCTCCGCGGGCGTGGCATCGAGCCGCTCAACGGAGCCATGGCCAACTGTGACTGGAGCCATGCCTCGCCAATCCACTCGGCCGCCCACGCCCTCCTGCATCTCTTCGCCAGGCGTTCCACGCGGGCGCGTTCCGCGGCCGAACGCGGCCGAGTCCGCGGTGTTCCGCGCGTGTTGTTCGGCGTTCGGCGAGGCGGCGCGAGGTCTGCGAGGTCTGCGGTGGGGGCGAGGCGAGGTCTGTTCGTGCGGCAAAAGGTCGGTGTTTTTTTACATGCATCGTGTGTTCGTTCCGAGTTCTTACGTTATTTGTGAATCTCTGAAGGCAGATCAACCGCTGCCGTTTCCAGTTCAGGCTTTGTGGGAAGACGCCAAACGAGGTTACGTGGGAGTGTGGTCTTCGTACTCCCACAATGTCAGCACTTTTCGACCTTTTGTTCGCAGAGGTCAAAACTTTCAGCAGATTTGCTGCTTGTTTCTGCAAGTGCGCGCTCCGTGTCTCAATCTGCTTGCTTTCGACGAGTCGACGAGTCTGGCTCCACAGAGTGTGGGATCGAAGCAAGGCAAGGCTTGTGGTTGTTTTTGGATGTTTTTCCCCAAACAGTGTGGACACACTAGGGGTTCTTACGGTAGGTGTAAAGCAGGTGTGCTTAGATACGTTAGATAGGTGTTTTGTTCTTACAGAGATCAGATCAGCAGATGCAGATTCGAAGCTTTGTTCTGAAGCTCCTGGTCCTGAAAATCATAGCACAGGGCCGTGAACTCCCTCGCGGCCTTCACCCACTACTACTTGCATCCCTGCGGGCAAAGATACTGGATGCACTATCTGAAGACCAATGTGGTGCTACCTGGTCGCAGACGATTTGCTCGCGGGACACCGTTTCCAAAAAAAACAAGAAAGCTGATGGAAGACACCGTTTGCATGGGCGGCCCTGGTCCTTTGGTGCGGAGTTGAACGACTGGGGTTGACCCAGATGACATGACCATAACCCAGACATGACCAATGGGACTGCCACATATGCCGATCAGTTGGGGTGGTTTTGGGGTGTTCAATGTAGGCATATATGGCATACATGGAGTGTTTGGGTAATGTAGTAGACTCTTGATTACTAATCTCCCCCAATTCCACTGAACAGCTTCTTCATAAGGGGTTTATTAATTAAGAGTCTACAGTCTACATGACCCGATGCCTTGCCAGGTTAGTGAGTGGGGTTGATTTGTAGGAGGAAGTTGCAACTACGTTGTTGGCCTTACAGGAGTGAGGATGTAAAGGATGCAATTTCATGATAGTTGATGTACTTAGGACAAGATGGAAAGAATTGCGATCCTCATGTGTACATATGGCTGTGAGTCATGACTTTTTTCCACCAAACCCTGGTAGGTTGACATCCTTATAGAGGAATTTGTTCATTTTCAGGTGTCCACCCACTGCCACATATGTATATATGTTTACAACCTCCATGACTTCATGACCTTGTCTTGTGGTTCAACCCTGTTTGTCCAGTGGACAAAGTATATACTCACTCCTGTTCTTGATGAAGGAATCAGTTGCTGTGTTTTACCAGGTCCGCCTCAATGAATTAGATGCTAGTTCATTTCATTTTATTGATCTATTTGCTGGTCACTTACTGTATAAAAGACTTCTCAGGCTGAAAAGAGCTTCCAGACTTTCAATCAAAGGGCTTGGTGTGTCTCTTCTTTTTGTTTCCAAACCGCTTCCGTGTCGGCGCAGCCGAGGTTCAACTCCATCATTGGAACCCACGGCGGAAATGTCTTGGAGCTCTACAAGAAATGGGGCTTCTTGCCAGTCGCGGGTCCATTTCTGGCCCCATGCATATACCAGGCACATCGCCAGTGTCGAGGATCGGTATGTGAGGTATTCCATGGGACACGAAGAAAGGCCCGGGCAATAGATTCGACTATGTTCTACTTCCATGTTTTTCAAATCAAGCCCCCTGCAAGAAGTTTTTTGATGTCACATGTCGCAGCAAGAGCAGCCAAGAGGTGCAAAGACACAAGTTGTTGGCGGTTCTTGTATATATATTTCCCAATAGACAACTAGACAACCCCAACCCTAACCCCTACAGGCCTGAAGACTACGTAAAACCCGGTCCTGAAAGCCTCATTGTGCAGTGTGTGCTTTGTTTAAATGATCAACTCCAGTCAAAATCAGGTTCAACTGACCTGTAGGAGTCTATCAAAAGCATTCAAAAGCTATCCGCCAAAGATTACATGTCCATTGCGTCCGCCGCTCCGCAGACCGTATCAGGGTAGAAAATGGCTGAGGTATTCATGCTGAAGATTCTCTGGAGACCGTCAGTGCCCTCGCTCTTTCCCTGGCTTGGAATAGCACTGAAATCGAAGCTTGGCGAGATGGTTTGAATATGGTTGCTGTTTGATGTGTGCTGTTGTCGTCGTCGTCGTCGTCGCGTTGTTGTTGTTGGGGTTGTTTCGTTGTTTGTTCGTTTGTTTGCTTGCTTCCTCCTTGGTCGACGCATGGTACTGTAGCCGTTGGGGCAAGTAGCCATTACGGCTGATCCAAGGAGTTTGTGTTGGGGCAGAAGTGTGCTGGTGAATGAATAGAGAGAAGCATGTTGAAGTGCTGTTTGTGTTTGTTGTCTACAAAATGGTGTCGTGATGTGATATTTTTACAGACTTGCAGGTTTTCAAGCTAATGCAAGACACAAACACACTCAGGAGCTCCTACGTACAATTCAAGAGGATGCGGTTCTTGGGATGATGACTGGTACAGCATGTGCATGTGAACGAATGCAGGCGATCCTAGCGAAACAGTCGTTGTCCGTGACGGTTTCAGGTGGACTTCATGCGGAGCAATCGGAGCGCCGACTACGACGTGGTGAAGATCCGTGGCATCAAGCTCCGGCGGGAGGAGTCGGGTTTAGCGGACTGGGTGGAGAAGTAGAAGATAGGAGAAGTTCCAATGGTGGAGGATGTTTTTGCTGTACCAGTAGCCGGTGAGTATCATAGGTGAGTGGAATTGAGTACGTAGATATGGGCTTGTCTTTTTTTAAGGTGTCCAGTTTATGTAGGGCTGGGATGTTCGACTTAGGCGAAGCATACCCCGAAGCATACCCCCGAAGCATACCTCCGAAGCATACCCCATAGTCAAACATCCCGACCCGGGAACCTTAAAAAAATACAAACCCATATATGGTTTGAAGGCGATGAAGGCGATCTCCATGAACCAGGCGCCGTTCATGTACTTACGAAAGGAGTGCTGACTGACTGTGCCAATGTGCGACCTGTTTTCCAATGTGCTCCAATCAGCTCCACTGAGCTGTTCTGTGCTATATGGATAGATATGGCATTGTTTTTTGTTGGCGTACCATTTACCAAGGTAAGCCTAGTAGTCCCACATACATTGTCATTAATGTTGGATCACGATTAGTAAACCGGTCCGCAATAATGCTATTTTTTCCAAAATCATTCAGGACCCCCTGTTTGAAAAAGTGGTCCTGAATAATGCTAAAAAACACATTGGGCCCTAATTTTTTTATATTGGAAAACCTAATTCATTAATAAGGATTTGAATTCCTTCTGAACCCTGTCCACCTGCACTCCCCCTCCCTTCCCAGGCAAGCAGCCAGCAGCAAAGCAAAACACAGACAAACAGACCACCAACAAGATGTTAACTAACTAATTACAACCCTAGTCCAAAACCACTAACTCCTAATTAAACCCTTTATAAAACATTGCTCCTGAACAAATATTCAAGGTAGTAGACCAGGAAGGCACCTGATCCTCAATAATAGATTTGTTTTTGGGTTCTCAATTGTGAAAAGTTTTTCCACTGGAAAAAATTGCTCATGTAATCTTCCTTTCCTTAGCTCCTGAGGCCAATGATTATGATTCATTAGCTGATATAGTTTTCTTTAGGTTTCTTCAAAACTGACAGCTTTCTCACAGGAATTCTCACAGGAATTCTAACAGGAATCCAGATTTGTTTTGGTGGTAGTTTATTATAGAGGGTCCCCTATTTGTTTGAGGGAGGGGGGGGGACCCCCCTTTACTAATCAGGATCCAACATTAGATATCATTAGTAATTACACAAGAACATCCGGATATGTTGCAATTGAAACTACTAGACGAGGTTGACATATATGTCAGTCCTGTGTCTCGCAATGATCAATCTCACTCTTCTCTCAAATCAAAATACCTCATGCACCAATGCACATCTGCATGGCAGACACTGAAATGCAATCGAAATCGCCCAATTCGTTCTCACGTCGGGCACTTGGGGCGCTCGCCCTTGCTTGCCGTCAGGAGCGGATCCTCTTCGAGTCTGTGAGAAGCTGCCACTGGGGCGCGGTGTCAGGGGTGAATGTGTTCTTTATGGTATGGCACAAAGCCAGAGCATCGAAGATACAGCATGACCAACACCTCCCTGGGTGTTCTGCTGGACTGCCCTGCACTACTTAGGGATCGACTACCCTAGACACCCAGGACGGATGGTCCAGGTAGAATTTCAACATCCCACATGTCACAGATCACCTGTATCCACCCGGACCTCTCCAAGATCATCGCCTTTTTGATCGCAAGTGCTCAAATCAAACCCACCTAATTAAGTGCTTGGCGTCCCAGTTTCACTCAGAGTTCCCAACACTTCCACCTGAAAACAAGTCCTATTCCTCCATCGATCGTGTCATCTCACCGAGTCTCGCACTCCGAACACACTCCGCCCTCCCGCCGTCTGCCGAGACGGCGGGCGTCGCGACAACAGCGTCTTGGTCGCTTCAGGCGAGTTAGGGAGCCTCCTTTGCCGCTTGCAACGGCAAGTGGGCGCCAGCATCTTCTCCGAGGTCCCGGTCGCCAGGACGGGAGGGGAGCCGGACGGCTGTGGTGGGGGGTCACGAAGTACTTGCGTTGGTTTGGCATGGAAGCATCACCTGGTGGACCAGCCTGGCCAGGCTGGTCCAGAGATGCAGGGGCACGACTCTTGACTCTTGACTCTTCATTTATAAAGCCACCTCTTAGAGGTGTTTCAGTCCATGTTTGGGGGTTTTACTTAAATCAAGAGTCCACATAAATCCATTGAGGAAGCGGCCAAATTGTTTCTGATGGCATTTGTGGATTCTTCCGGCCAAGCATGGCCTGTTTCTCAAATGTTGGGAGATCAGTTCCGAGATCGTTTTGGGTCAGCACCCTTTCTTTTGTTTTGAATAGGTAATCATCCTTCTTTTCGCAAGTAAGTGCTTGGAGCCCTGGGGAAGGGTTGCTGGGAAATCCGTTGGCCGGAGGATTCTGGTTTGCGTGAACATGCAGCTTTGGTGGAATTAGTCATTTGTTCCAAGCCGACATCGTTCTCTCGGGAAGGCACTCGTTCTAGGGAGGTCACTCTGGAACGTGTCAGCTTTTCCTGAAACTTCTTCACTTCTCCTTTGGCTTTGCCAACAAAGGTTAAGTGACCTGAACTAGGACCCTACCAGGGTACCTACGGGATAGCCTATAATGGGCCGGGTTCTTCAACCTCGGTGGAGACCACGTTTCCGGTCCGTCGGACTGACGGACCATTGGAGACCTCGTTTGAAAGAGCATCCGCCGTTCTCGCCGCGCCGTTCGCGTCCACAGCATGTTGGCACACCGAGAGCATGATAGCTATATCCAAATGTGGTTCAAAGGTTCTCTTCAGAAAGGCATAGACATGGAGACCTCTCTCTCTCTCATGCGTGTACTGTATATATATATATATAATCCTGGTGTGTATTTTCACTATGAAATCAAGAGGGCGTGTTGCAGATTTATAGAAATAAGCCTCCGAGAAAGTGATTACTATAAATTCACAAGCATAGATTCAGGCATTGACTAGCATGAACTTTTGGAAGAGAGCACAAGAGACTATGAATTGACGTCTATGATTCTATAACAATCACATTGTTTGTAGAAATTGTGGTTTTGACCACGCAGACCAAACACCAACATAATTCTATAGAGAGACCTGTGCCTGCGTGCCACAGAGACTGCAACTTTATAGTGAAATGATTTCATAGCAAAAAAACTAATCTTCATCAATGTCTCTGAAATCATAGTGCAAATTGATGGAGGAAATATACAACATTGATTAAATAACAAAGACAAACATATAAAGATGTTGAAATGTTTTTTTTTTTTAACAAAAATACAAAAATATTTTTTGACCGATTTTGACAGATTGAATCAACAATTACTATAGAATCTGAGCACGACTTGCTCTCCGGACTAATTTCTATTAAACAAAATTGGAGGACATCAAATTGTTCTGCTTGTGCACCCCATTTTATACTGTGTTTTTGGGCATCTGCTCAATATCTTTGTCTACCTCCTGGTCCTTAGTAGAGTTGATTCTATAATGATGTTTCTGTATGATAGTAAGTCAGGCATTTGAATTTTATAGTGCTAAGATACCCCAGGCAGACATGCACCCACCGATTTATAGCTATAAAATGGGTGGACAAGTAGCTATGGGAACACACAAGGGGATTATATATATATATTTAAGGTGTTCAAAACATCTGTAACAGAGTCGGGGTGGGAATACCACCTTGCAGCTTGTTCACACGCACCAAGCTTCGCAAGCTTTGCAATGACGATGGAGGTCCCAGTGATACAGCTGAATGGGGAGGCGATCACTGTAGAAGTGATGCCAGACATGACCATATTTGATTTCAAGAAGCAACTGACAGCGAGGGAAGATCGACAAAGAGAGGCCAAGGTGGAGGTTGTAGTTGAGGGTCAAAAGTTGACAGATGACCATCAAAGCGTGACAGAGGCGGGAATTGGTCCAACGACACAATTGCAAGCACTCTTTACAATTCATGCCGTGGAGTGCAGCAGCAAGCATGACCTTGGCGATTCTGAAGCTTTGATCGTCGTGAGGATTCCAGACAGCACGACTTTGATTGAAACTCAAGCCTTTGAGAATTGCAGTTCCTTGACAACCTTGACCATTCCTGACTCCGTGTCTTCCATCAAAGCCCGCGCTTTCTCCTGCTGCAGTTCCTTGAGCGAATTGATCATTCCAAAGTCGGTCGCTTCGATTGGACCGATTGCATTCTTCGGCTGCAAATCCCTGATGCGACTGGCAGTCCCAAACTCAGTGACATTCATTGGACCTGGTGCGTTCTCAAACTGCCTTGCCTTAGCACACTTGACACTTCCCAACTCGATCACATCCATCAGTGAATATGCATTTGCACACTGCAGATCTTTGACCAACTTGACGATTCCCAACTCCGTCCTCGCCATCGGGCAATATGCATTTGCACACTGCAGATCGTTGATGCGACTGACAATACCCAATCTAGTGACTGTCATTGGATCCCGTGCTTTTACAGGCTGCTGTTCCTTGACAAGCTTGAGGATTCCAGACTCAGTCACTTCCATCGGAGACAAAGCATTTGCAGGCTGCAGGTCGCTGAGGAGCTTGACCGTCCCCAAGTCTGTACTTTCTATTGGAGCTGGTGCTTTTGAAGGGTGCAGCTCGTTGATCAGCCTGACGATTCCTGAGTCAGTGACGTCTCTTGGAGCGCGTGCTTTTGCAGACTGCGTTTCTTTGGCCAACGTGGCACTGCTCAATTCCCAGATATCCATTGGAAGCGGCGCCTTTGAAAACTGCAAGTCATTAGGCGGAGACTCTGAGGTGGGAAAGATTCACACCCAAGATGACGAATCCAAGCAAGCGGATGCCGAAGTGTTCACAGCCGCGGCTGCGACAGTGGCAGAGGAGGGCCTTTGGTAAAGGGAAGGTATATTGCTATAATGGACAAGAGGAAGGGAAAGTCTATGCACAGTCGTTCTTCTACAAATTTAACACCAATACCTTAAGAATGCGTTTGGCCACACTATGAAATATGACATGCTCTATGGGAGATGTGACGGACGTGTGCATCGAACAAAATGCTGTCCGGAGGCGAGGGCGAAAGCGTCGCAGCTCATGTCGCTGGGGCCAATCGTTGCGGCTCACGTGTGATCGCTGGGGGCGGCGATCCGTGAAACAGGCTTAGCTGAAACAAGACTCGACTGTGAGGAACCCAACGTGCCCGTCTGAACCCGACCCATGACCCGCGATGTTGCTTGTTCTCATGCCCCAGTTCCAGCAAGTTGTTTTGTTGGATGGATCACGTTGTTCCGTTTCATGCTATATGGGATTGAACTTGGGGAGGAGGTAATGTAGTTGAGTTGATTAAGAACTCCATTTCCCACATGAAGAGGTTGTTTTGCCATTCAACTTTGCATTCTCATTGAATACCTAGAAACTCTTTGACCGTCCGTCCTCAACCGCCGGTACGGAAACCGAGACCTCCCACCGCAGGACAGCGGAAGATGATCCTGCTGCGTCGGAATTGTGAAAAGGATGTGCTGCCTGTTCATCATCAGCAGATATTATGGCTATCTTCAGAAGACGTGGCTACAGAATGATGTGAAGATGAGGTTTCTGTAGCCACAGAAGATGTTCAGCAGATTGTGGCTACAGACGATGTTTGTTTGTTATGTGTATATATATACCAAGAAGTGAGGTGATTTGACGACACTCCAATAACGCGATGGTTTTTCCCACACTCTTTTGTTGGGAATGGTGCACAACGTTCGTTCTTTTCCCATCGATTCATGGTGCCACTGGCATCCACCAGGTCCCTAATGCGTGGCCAACTCAAACGCGTCGTTTGTAGCCTGACTTGTCCACAAGCAAGCAGACCGATGGGGACTGGTCAGAAGCCCCAGACTCTTCAGAATGTTAGTGGTTTTGACTGGAATTGCATCATCGTTGGGAAAGTTGTGTGAAATGGATTAAGCTTCACTACCAGGACTCTGCGAGATGATTTTTGGGTCTGGCCACAGAGGGTTTCTGTACATTGCACTTGTCACTACCGTTCAAAAGCGGAGGGATGCAGATGAACAGAACCTCCTGTGCAGAACCCGATGGCTTGCCCGACTGGGTTCCCCGACTGGGTTGCCCGGCAAGAATAAGCATGCACCTGCGCCAAGGACTACAACAAGACACCATTCTCCTTGTGTGGTGCCCTAGACTGGGGAACACAATCACGCTCCATTTGCACTAAAGAATAGCCGATCGAATAGCCTATTGCCTAGGGGGTTGTGAAGAACTTTAGGACAATTCCAGGGCTTTTCAAGATTCTACCTGTAGCTGGGCTTGAGACCATTTCTGTTTTGCGTTTGGAGTCTGCAGCTGTTCTCCCGTAAGAGATCGCGATCATTGAAGTTCATATGGCCATGCCGACTAGGAATTGTGTCTTTTAGGTGTTTCATTGCAAATTTGCACGGTGTTCTGTGTTTGGGAAGGGAAGATGTGCTTTCATGCTCCAAGCAAAGAGAAATCTTAATCTCTATAGGGATCCACATACCTTCTCGGAAGGTACTTAGACCCTCAGTTCGCCTAAATAAAAGTGTCGCCAATCACCATCTCAATGGGTGGGAGTGGATCGATAGGGTATGAGACCCAATTTCCCAATCACTTGTGAAGCTAC